CAGCATTTCCACTGTGTAAACCCCTAACTTACGAGATGTTCTTCTATTTACTCCTATACCTCTATCTGGTAACACCACCCGCAATCCTGTTACTTCTGTCTCGGGGTTCTTAGCACCATCTGTATAAATCTGTATATATTCATTATATTTTTCCAGTACCCAATTCTCTTTCCAAATTAATATCCTCCTTTGCCTTCCTTTTTTCCTCTAGCACAAACCAAACTCAGGCCAGAATAGCTTCCATTGAGCAATATCTGGTTAAACTACCGTAGAACTTATCCTCAAATGAAACACTTCTAATTCTGTAACTACAACATTTCCCATTCTCCCAACTCTCCTGCAATACTGCCTTAGTGGGGTGTGAATTGTTATGCCCTTGTAAACCTGCCTAGAGTCTTTTCTATAGAAAACCTAAACCCCCAATCATAACCCCACTCAACCACTTTATCAATTGCTTCCTGTATTTTCCTGCTTGCAAATTCCATATTCCTTCCTATTTTCCACAATGCCCCAACATCTGCAAACAGCAACCTTCCTATATCTTCTGGAACTTTCTCAAATACATCATTAATCATAATAATAAAGAGTAACGGACTTATCACACTCCCTTGAGGTGTGCCATTTTCAGCTGTGTATTGATTTGACATGTCTGTCTCAATTCTTACTTGTATTTTCCTTCCGAAAAGAAAATCCTTTACCCAATTAAACATCTTCCCTCCAACCCCTACCTTATTCAGTTTGATCAGTAACCCCTCCTTCCACATCATATCATAGGCCTTTTCTATGTCAAAAAATACTGCTATTACATTCTCTTTATTCACTTGTGCCTTCCTTACTTCAGTCTCTAATCTTACCACAGAATCTATTGTATTTCTTCCCTTCCTAAAGCCACTCTGACAGTTAGCCAATAATCCTCTTTTTTCAAGGTCATGGGTCAATCTATCTGCTATCATCATTTCCATGATTTTACATACATTTGAAGTAAGAGCTATTGGTCTGTAACTAGTAGGTTTAGTTGGATCTTTACCAGGTTTCCGTATTGGAATCACTACTGCTTCTTTCCAGGTAGTTGGTAACTTTCCCTCCTCCCATATTTTATTATACATCTCCAGCAGCTTCAACAGTGACTTTTCCTCCAATTGCTTTAACATTAAACAACAGACTTGATCTTTTCCTGGAGACGTAGGCTTTGCTATTTTAAGTGCTCTCACCATCTCTGCTAAGGTAAATGGATCATCCAATACATTTTCAGTTTCTTCCTTCCTATTTAACTGATGAAGATTCTGACTCAATGATACTGATCTTCTCCTTCTCCCTTCTTCTGACACATTTTCTGAACTATGTACCATTACGAATGATTTAGCCATAATCTCGGCTTTCTCCTTGTTTGAAACTGCTATTTCCTCTTCAAATGCCATAACTGGCTAACTCCCTCTAACCACGTGGCTTTACTTAAGGAAGCATAAAACACCCTAGCACCCCTAGTGGTAAGGAAGAAAACTGTCCACAAAATTCTTATTAATAGGCTCGTGTCTGTTACACCTCAAATATGGCTTGTGAGATCCACTTTCCTGCAAAGTTTAGCTCCAACTTAGTAAGGAAGAAATCTACCTACAAATTTTTTATTAATAGGCTCGTGTCTGTTACACCTCAAATATGGCTTGTGAGATCCACTTTCCTGCAAAGTTTAGCTCCAACTTTGATCAAACTCACCTACCTGTTATTTTTTAATGATTCTGAAGATATGCTCAGGTGTGTTTGATTCAGGTTAGAACTAAACTTTGCAGGAAAGTGGATCTCGTGAGCCAGATTTGAGGATCCCTGTCATATATGAAACAACAGGTTCTGAAATGGTCTCTTTTGGTTTGAGCCATTCCACTTCAATTGAGTGGCTAAAGAACAGCAAGTCAATGTTGTTTATATTCTCCTAGTTACATTACAGGGCTGCCTACACAAAACCTGCATGGGCCCAAAGGATACAATAGTTGCTCTGGGCCCAAACGGGCTGGCCCACACTGGGCCATCATAGGATTAATGTAGACAGTCCGCTAGTGTGGCCTGCTCACAGAGAGCCTGCGGTGAGCCCAAAGCTGTGGGCCTCACCTGGGCAAGCCCACACTGGGCCTGTTTAGGTTTGGTGTGGGCTGGCTCTAGCCCACTGTGCCCGCAAAAAGCCAGCATGGGCCCTGCAGGGACATGTTTGCAGGGAAGTGTTTTATGTCTGTGATTTTGGCAGTGGCTCTTTACTATCACTAATTATGCTTTTTATTTTGCATTTTAGACTCATATTAAGAATGCTGTATGCTACCCTCATCCAGAGATGTGTTTCCCAAAAGCAAGTTAAACAACTATGGTCGCAACATTCATCGTTATCAACATAGTTCAATGATTTGGTGTTTCTGAATCCATAGCTTCAACAAATATTCACAAACAGCACCACAAAGTTGTCACATCCATTTCATGGATTTCAGTTCAAGGACTAATGCCTGGGTTCAAGGTCGCAAATGATACACTATACACTTATTCTATGCACTATGTACTCAACAGTCTGAATTATATAAGGTTATTTTATTATCCAACATCAGACTCTGATAGCCCCTCACCCTCCACTATGTAAAGGTGTAACAGATGAGTGCATGAAGTGACGCATGACTGCATGCACAACTTTAACTGCTACTTCATGACATTGCACTATCTACTACAGGAAAATGGCTATTTGCCATAGACAGAACAGCTAAGAACATTTTATTTAAAAGTTTTTTTTTTTTGCGTTCTTTGCCTATGGCAATTAAGAGTTTACTTCCGGTCACCATTTGCCATTCCATCAGCAGCTGTTGCTTAAAGTCCCTTGTGGTGTGATTGGAACTACAGCTCTTGACCTTTGATAGTAACCCTAAACAAGAATAACAAAGCAGTCATCGGATGCAATGTTCCTTATTTACACTAATAATCTGACATCAATTTGATCTCTAAATGATCGTTTAAAGGGGTCATCGGATGCCCATTTTCTACAAGTTGATATGATTCTTTAGGGTCTTAATGAAAAGTCTATAACATACTTTGGATAAAAATTTCTCAACGGTATTGTAAAAAAACGCTCTTTTTACCCTGTCAAAAAAGCTATTTTAGTGCATGTTTCTTTAAATGCTAATGAGCTCTGCTCACCCCGCCCCTCTCTTCTGTGGGGTGACGAGCCGTTCTCATGAGACTGTTTACTTTAGCTGCATTTAGCCGCAAAACCTGCTAACTAGCACATTATTAGGAAAAGCGATTTGCAAAGATTCATAACAAACCCCTTATACTCACTTCTTCTGTAGGTAAGGCTGGATCACGAATGATTCGCACGAACATAAATGCATTAAGGTAGATCGGGGATCGGCGCATTCCCTTCAAAAACAAAGGTAATCCACTGTGTCTTCAGCGGCTCAGGTGTTGAGAGTAAATGACGACTGCTATGTTCATTATTACATCCAACAACAAAACACCTCAATCACTTAGGAGACATTCTTTAAGATGTTATTACTCCAACACCTGCTTGACATCATTGATAATTTTAACCAACATGGTTTGAACGATGAATGTGCAACAAAGTTCCTTCATTTGGGAAACAGTCATGACAAGAAGTTGGAAATTCAGAGCATCTAGTAGGAACTTTTCAAGACCTCGGGTCAGAGGAAACTCAGAGGAACTGCAACAACCCTGAAAATGGCTGGTCAGTGCATAAACATAAGTGAAACAGTAGTAATGTATTGATTATCAACACTTTTATTTGTCTGTCTGAATAAACTGCACACAGTACTATCCAATCTCTATCTGTGGACGTGATACTTCCACATTAGCTGCATAAAATACTGTTTTTCTTTCTTTTTATCAACTGGTATTGCCAACAATGGACTCGTCCATCTTGGTTTCAGACTTGTGTACTGAAAGGCAGTCAACTCCGGTGTGACATTGTTCCCAGCTCCAACATTCGACTTCAACTTGTACAACAGTGAAACTTTTACATTTGATACATGAGTTTCCTCATTGGGCAAGCCATAAACTTTAAACATGGTGGAGGGGTAACTGACTCACAACAGCTTATATTTACATTGTTTGGAAATCGCACACTAGGTTCTTCGTGGCTAAAGCCCAGGACAAACTGCACAATTTGGCATTGTGAAACAATCGTGGCGATTAATCGGTGGTCCTATGTCATACAGTGAGAGAGGTTCAAAGATGGCCGTTGTCACGGTCTTGTGACCAAAGATAGCCTACGATAATTTTCTGACAGTGTCAGAAATTCAGCATGATCAGCAGTGTGTTTGCTGCTACGACCTACGTCTACTAACCAACCAATAAAAATGCAACATGAAATGGCATGTTGATCAATGTGACATGGCACTAAAAGCTAAAACTGCTTACCTCAAACTATTTTCCCTTACTCTTTCGCAGCTTCCTCTTTTTTTCACCACACATAAAAATACAATATCCAAACTGTGATTCGTCATGCTCTTTTTGTTTACCACTAGTGCATGCTGATGATGTTTTATTCTTCAATAGTAACTTGCGTCATAGTTTATAAGTCACTAGGTCTCATCATCGTACACTCTGCGTACATGTCGTACCAAAGTTTATTAGATCCATGTTGAACAGTGTGATTTGTAATGATCTTATAAGATCACTGCAGTCTCACAGTCTATAAAAGGCTTAAAGTATCACAGTGCAGCTATGTAAGTAATCAATGTAATTTACAGCCCTCTCTGTTGGTGAAAATAATCACTACACCATTGTGCTGGTAACCACCATTTTTTTTTTATTGTATTTGCGTGGTGTTTTAATGTGCCATAATACACAGGAGACAGGACACCAAAAACTGGACTGTCCCAGAAAACGACAACGTCTGGTCACTCTGGTAGTGTTACTCCATGCATATGTAAATTCAAGATGGTCAGTAGCATTGTGTGATGTGTTTGAGTTGTTACCTAATTTGCATGATGGGTGTAATTATTGGGGTGCATGCTAATTAATGTAAACATCACATGCAAATAAATTACACTATTAGTGGATGCAATTTATTCTTAGTGAATTCTCCCTATATATGTTTCATCTGTTTTATAATAAATTAACTCATTTTTACCACATTAAATCCTGCTTCCAGAAAATATTTATGGCTCACATTTACTTTGGGCTAATTTGTGGACGATGATGATTTAGCAGAGCAGTCTGCTCATACATCTGTTTACCCAAACACGCTCTCAGACAACCGAAAGGCCCATCAGCAGGGAAGTGTTAGGATATGAATTTTCTTGCCTGTTGACAGGACATCTAGTTAAGCACCCTGGGAGCAGACATCATTGTTATTGTGTGGTGTGATTTCTCAGATGAGAGCCTCTGCTATCGCAGTGGTCCTCCCTGCTGACATGCATTAGTCATGCATCACTTATAAGGGATTGTGCCTGGTTATGGTGGCTGTCAGTCATGCCTAATTAAGAAATCTTCTAATTTATTGGATTTTGCAATGTTGGGCATTTAAGCCCAATGACATAACAGATGGCTCATTTAAAGGTTTTACAGTTTAACAGTCCAATGAGAAAGACTGTACAACAGGCATGTAACTGTGGGTCAGTATGGAGATTCTACCAACGACTTACGTTTGTTGTCTTTGTATATTAAAGGAATAGCTAACCCAGAAATGAAAATCGGCTGAAAATGTACTCACCCTCAGGCCATTCATGATGTAGAGGAGTTTGTTTCTTCATAGGAACAGATTTGGAGAAATGCAGCATTCCATCACTTGCTCATGAATGGATTCTCTGCAGTGAATGGGTGCTGTCAGAATGAGAGTCCAAACAGCTGATAAGAGCATCACAATAATCCACACCTCTCCAGTCCATCAGTTAATTTATTGTGAAGCCAAAATCTGCATGTTTCTAAGAAACAAATCCATCATTAAGACATTTTTAACATCAAACTTTTGCTTCCCCTTTGTAAGGGAAACAGGTCAGTTTAACTCAAAGGGAATTATTTTTGATTTTATAGGGCATTTGGACAGAATCACTGTTTTACGGCTGATCACTGAGTCGGCCAGCGATTCACTGAACGAGCCATATAACATCAACTCTGCATGGATATTAAAATCCAAAATGTAGTGAAAACACTATTAATTAGCACAGTAACAAGATCGGCAATTTAAGACATTAACTTGTAAGCACAAAACACAAGATACTTCTCTTTTTTATATAAATAAGACTTTATTGAATAAATCTAAGACATAGAAACTAATCTAACACAAACACATGCACTCACAGAAAGAGAGAAAGTGAGGAAAGAATGAGTTTAAGACTCATTCAGTAAGAACATGTGAAATCCCAAGTTTATAGCAATATGTGCAATCCCTGCAAACATGTCCTTGCGGGGCCCATGCTGGCTTACGTCCCTGCAAACATGTCCCTGCTGGCTTTTTGCGGGCACAGTGGGCTAGTGCCAGCCCACACCAAACCTAAACAGGTCCAGTGTGGGCTTGCCCAGGTGAGGCCCACAGCTTTGGGCTCACAGCAGGCTCTCTGTGAGCAGGCCACACTAGCGGACTGTCCACATTAATCCCATGATGGCCCAGTGTGGGCCAGCCCGTTCGGGACCAGAGCAACTTTTATATCCTTTGGGCCCATGCAGGTTTTGTGTATGCAGCCCTGTAATGTAACTAGGAGAATATAAACAACATTGACTGGCCATTCTTTAGCCACTCAATTGAAGTGGAATGGCTCAAACCAAAAGAGACCTTTTCAGAACCTGTTGTTTCATATAGGCCAGGAATCCTCAAATCTGGCTCAGGTGATCCACTTTCCTGCAGAGCTTAATTCTAACCTGAATCAAACTTGAGCATGCTTGTGGGCAGTTTTCTTCCTTACCACTAGGGGTGCTAGTGTGTTTTAAGTTTCCTTAAGTAAAGCCATGTGGGTAGAAGGAGTTAGCAATAGCAAGCAGCAGTAGCCAGTATGGCTCACCTGCTGAACACACTGTGCTGCGTCCTGGTTGGGAAATGTGTCATTTGAAGCCCAGTCTAAAGGAGACTTTTTTTTTCTTCTTCTATGTAAAAGTGTACATTGCTGATGTTTTTTTGCAGAGATGTTACTTGTATGTATGGCCTATGTTTGGATTGATGCTAAGAGTTTAAGACAGTGTATTTGTATGCATTTTAGAAGTACTCTTTATTGGTGAGGACACCACATCATGGTCCAGTTTGAATATGGATTTAAAGTTATTTTCGACGTGAGACCATAGTCTGGACTATTTTTGACTGTTCCTGGTTAGGAAGAGTCTGGTGTTTGAGAGCTGTGGTGTGTTGCATTACAAGAGGTTGTATTATTCATTTGCAATCAGTCAACATCAGCTACGGACAGTGTTGATGTACTACAGATAAGACTTTCGCACACATCAACTTTCACATGACGAAATCCTACAATCTTACATTGCTTTGTTTGCTTTCTTTTTTTTTGTACTTTTGTTTATTTACATTGTTGGCTATATGTAGCTGTATTAACCTGAATTTAATGTTTTCTATTTTGTATTTAATAACTGATTTGAATTCCCTTTGACTACTTTACATTTTTGACAATATAGACCAGGGGTGCCCAACCTTGTTCCTGGAGATCTACCTTCCTGCAGAGTTCAGCTCCAACCCTGATCAAACACAACTGAACCAGCTAATTAGGATCTGAAGGAGCACTTGATAATTACAGACAGGTGTGTTTGATCAGGGTTGGAGCTGGACTCTGCAGGAAGGTTGATCTCCAGGAACAGGGTTGGGCACCCCTGATATAAACATTAGTTAGCCTATGTGGTGACTGCATCCATTTCAGATGTATAATAACTGTTTTTCCCCAAAGACTTAAGTTATAGTAGCTGAAAAATATTTAAAGTGAAACAGATGTATTGTTGTAGATTAATAGTGCGGGCCCTTTGTGGGCATAGTGAGGACTTCCTGGGGGCTAAGTGAGGGCTGCCCGTGCAGGGCCAGCACTAAGGGGCCAACGTTTTGACAATGAGCAAATTCTCAGGGGCCCTGCGCGGGAAGCCTGTTGGGGGCCCTTAGGCTAGCCCTAAGTGGGCCTGTAAAGGGCCAGTGCAGGCTTGTTTGCAGGGATTGCTTAGACCTGAACAACCATCAATCATTTAATTAACCCTCGTATTGAGTTTCTAAATGAGGCTGCTAAACTTTATATTAAATGCACCAGTTCAGCTAGAATCTGGAGGTACTTGCATTGCCTGTGTAGGGGGTTCCCTTTGTTGTCATCATTGCAGAAAGGGGTTTTCCAAGGTTGCTGATTGGCTGGAAGTTCAGTAGTTGCTCAAAGCGATGTCTTGGGAAGCCAATGGTTGGGCGTTGGCTGAAGATGCGGAGTTGTGGGCTGGTTGAAGTTTTGATGTGAGCACAGTTGGAGTTGGATTCTGAGACACAGCTTTGTGGCAAAACTTAACTCACAACACAAAACTCTCAACAGAAAATAAAATAAATTAAAGTAGAAGCCAGAAAGAAAAGTGACGAGACTAGATGGCATATCTCCTCATGGCTTTAGAGGAGCAGCTGGCATGTAAGCCAGAGCACGCTCAAGGAGCGCTAAAAAGTAGCGTCAAAAAGTGATGGCGAAATAACATGGCTAAGAGCAGTAGTGGCAAAAGTGGTGGCTAAAAGCAGTATTTGATGGTGTCCTGCGTTTTTAAACTTGGCTGTTGGACACATCCCAAATGGTGTCTTGACTATTGAGATGCACCTGCAATACATTTTACATAGTATTGATTGATATAAACGTTTAAAGCATGAATTTTCAAACTCATACATAGTAAACATGACTATAAACTATTCAATAGTTATTCAAAATGACATACGCAATGAGTGATTAGAACATGTCAAATGTGTGGGTTACATACATGATATGGAGTTAAGCAATGGATTGATATTCATTTATAAGTCCTTTTGAGATAATTTTGGTGCATCTACATCTGTAAAAGACAGTCTCTGTGTCGTTCTGTGAACGTGAGGATGTGCTTTGTGAGGAACAAAATTTACAGTCATCATGCAGTGGAATTATATTTGTTCATAAGTCCTTTTAGCATCATTTTGATTGATCTGATGCATTTAGTCATGTAAAAGATAGTCTCTGTGTCGTTCTGTGAATGTGAGGACGTGTTCTGTGAGGAACAAAAGGTCAAAAGGGTCTAGAAGGAATCTCAGTCTGGTTCTTGTCGTCTAGGTGGAAGAAGTCAATCCGAGGAAGTCTTTAGCTCGTGATTTATATCATGGATTTACATGTGATGGTCATGCTGTGCGTCTCTTTGACCATTAATCTTGGTTACTTGCCCCAAAATTGAGAATCTCCTTCCTGAGTTGGGATAATCAATAAGTGTTCTTTTGTGTTAATGTTGCAAGCTGTTCAAACTGTGGAGTTGGTTGGTTAGGCTTACTTCAGGCAGGCTGGCGCTAGAATCTGATAGGAACCTGGTCCTGATCAAACACAACTGAACCATAACTTTAAATCCATATTCAAACTGGACCATGATGTGGTGTCCTCACCAATAAAGAGTCCTTCTAAAATGCATACAAATACACTGTCTTAAACTCTTAGCATCAATCCAAACATAGGTCATACATACATGTACTATCTCTGCAAAAAACATCAGCAATGTACACTTTTAAATAGAAAAAAAAAAAACTAATTTAGACTGGGCTTGAAATGACACAGCACAATGTGTTCAGCAGGTGAGCCATGCTGGCTACTGCTGCTTGCTATTGCTAACTCTCTCTACCACATGGCTTTACTTAAGGAAACCTAAAACACCCTAGCATCCCTAGTGGTAAGGAAGAAAACTGCCCACAAAATTCTTCTGAACAGGCTCATGTCTGGCCCACACTGGGCCATCATGGGATTAAAGTGGCCAGTCCCATAGTGTAGGCTGCTCACAGAGAGCCTGCGGTGAGCCCAAAGCTGTGGGCCTCCCCTGGGCAAGCCCGCACCGGTTTAGGTTTGTTTGTCTGTTTAGGTTTGGTGTGGGCTGTCATTGGATTAATGTGGGCAGTCCCATAGTGTGGGCTGCTCACAGAGAGCCTGCGGTGAGCCCAAAGCTGTGGGCCTCACCTGGGTAAGCCCGCACCGGGCCTGTTTAGGTTTGGTGTGGGCTGGCCCTAGCCCACTGTGCCCGCAAAAAGCCAGCATGGGCCCCGCAAGGACATGTTTGCAGGGCGTTCTTAGCTGGTCATGTGTTGGTCCTAAGCAACTATATCCTGCTCAGGACCAGTTTAGGGCCAGGTTTAAGATGGTGCTTATCTGGTCATGAGCTGGTTTAAGCTGGTCCTTAGCTGGTCACAGATACCTAACCAGCATATGCTGGTTTTTTTCAACAGGGTCTTGCTAAAATACTAGTCCGTAATCCTTAATATTGCATTCTCCAGTGAAAAAGTCCATTCCCTGTTGTCCTGTCACATCATAATCCACCCACATATTTGTTCAGAACTGTTTTGGACTGTTTGGGCTTGTAAACGGTGCTTGATCTGTGCTTATGGCTCTCCTAATTCAGATGAGAAGTTAATTGAGTCATGTGGATTACTTGTGGATTATTGTGATGTTTTTATCAGCTGTTTGGACACTCATTCTGACGGCACCCATTCACTGCAGACAATCCATTGGTGAGCAAAAGATGTAAAAAAAAAAGTCATCTACATCTTGGATGGCCTGAGGGTGAAATAATTCTCAGCAATTTCTTTAATCATTTTTGCATCTAAAAAAAATTACATACCAAAATGTTTCTGTGTATCACTGATGTGCAACACAGTCTGATTTTATACTATTATATGATTTTACATGAATGTTTGCAGCTTTGATGTTCTCAAAATATTTTTCGGTAATCAAATCTATTTTTTTTCCTCTGGCAACAACGCCAATATTCTACACTTCAGTGGATCACGATGAAACAGGGGAATCGATAGTATATTCTTCTCAGCTGTCCTACAATAATTCACCTTTGAGTATCATGCATCTGCAAACTGAGTCATTATATTGAACTTTTCTAAGCAGGTTGAGCAGGAGTGAAAATAGGTACTACAAGAAAATCTGTTCTCTGAAATAAGGTCAAACAGTGTCTTGGTTTGTTGGCCCAATAAATTCCCAATGGATAGAATCAAACTTTTTTTTTTTCCTTGTTGAATATTCTGTTTCACCCAGACATTCATCACATTACATAAGCACAATTGGTTAGGAAAGTTGTTTCATGTTGACTTTAAACTGTTTATGAACTTTCTTCAGTAAAAGAACACTGCTTGAGGCATTTACACATTTCTCCTTTAAGCATAATGGGCCTCATTTACGAAACAAACGTACGACCGAAAATTAGGCGTACACTCATTTCTACGCAAAACTTGGAATTGATCAATATGGACGTGAGTGGTGGCTATGATCAAATCTCACGTCTGGTCTCAGTTCGTGTACGCAAGTTTTTGAGTTACCTGACTTGCGTGCAGCACAGTAAATCTGGTGAAGAATTGTATAATAACAGCATTTTGTTCATTTAGATTATTTTCCTGACCGACAACCGAAGCTCATTAGTCGATCGTTAACCAGTAAGATTAGAATACATTTCTTTTCAGGGCTTTATATGCACAATAGCAACAACAGACCATGAGGATTCACACATCGTTGCATCATGCACCTGCAGCATTTCTCTGAACACAGAAAAACAGAAATTAAGTCTATAAAAGGAATAAAATAAATAGGACTACACAAAATATATTTCTCTTAACAAAAGAAAAAAAAAAACTGTTCGACAAGTAACCTATTGGCTACGCTCATTTTTGTGACACTCTTAATGCATTTTATTTCTTTATATTTTATTTTATTAAACCCATCTGATTGTGCAGGTGCCTCACATGCACACAAACAACATTAGTTCTAGCGTTGCTTGACATTTCAGCTATTCATCATCAAATTAAAATGCAGTCAACCAAATAGAAAAGTTACACTTTATTTTAAAAGGTCAAAAGTTTAAAAGGCCAAACAAACATTTTTATGCATTTGAAGGATTTTACGCGGATATTGGAATGAGCGAAGGATAAAGCCATGTTTAGACTACATAATAAATAACAGTTTAACAACCAAATGTTACAAATATGGCAAAAATGGAAACATTTGGATTCTTGTCGAATGAGAGAGGCTCGTGAGCCCAATGCCGTTTCAGCTTTGCTTGACTTTTGTGTGCTGTTTAGCTTATAATAAATGCCAATTTTTTTTCTATTGTAGTTTAATATATAATTTTATAGATGCTTATTTTGTCATTCTTGTTCTGTAATATTGTTAAATGTAAAGGATATGTTGGGACTGAAAGGAACTAAATAGGCTAAATAATGTTTGTAAAGGTTTCCTTATATTTACTGCTATTTAATATACATAAAAAAATATGTAATTGTTTGCAGTTACAAGGTTAACGGGTGTTTTTAGAGTAAGATCAATTTTCACGAGATTACTTCCTCTTTTTGGCCGGGTTTCGTTTCTCCGTGTCGTAAACTCTAGGGACGAGGCTTCTAAACCGGGCTGTTTTTAGGGGCGTGATATACAAATGATGATTGTTTTCAGCCGCCACATTTATCAACATACGATCATTCGTACAATGTGATTGGCGGCATACGAATGTTTCATGAATCACACGTGAACTCTGTCGTAAGTTGATTTGTGTGCACAGATCTGCGCTCGTTTCTACGTTAGATTGATAAATGAGGCCCAGTGAATCTACGACTATGCATGGAAACACACTCAATTTACACTAAAGACATCTGTCTTGAACTTTCTATAGCCATGTTTCTGTTTTTCCCCCCAGTAGTTTTTCAAAGGTACTTTGCTGCCAAGAATCCAAATAAAGATATTAACATTAGCAAAGATAAGTCAATTTAAAAGAATAGACATTACAAAATGTAACTTTTAGTGTTGTAAATTATTATTTGTACTAAATGTTAAAGTGACAACCGGGGTTAAACAAGGGTAAACATTGGCAGTGTTTTTACAAGATGGAGGAATTTGATGGAATGTTTGGGTTTCAGTCGATACGACGAACTTGCAGAGTTTCTTCTCGACAGGTAAGCTAAACTTCAATTTAAAAGTATTCCTAATATGTTGGACCTTTTAGTAGTTCTGCTGAATGACACTAGTAGCACAAAAACTGCCTATTCTACATTTAATATAAATTTAAACTATAATAACATTACATTCTTTAAAGATTTTTAAATCATGTATATTATTAATAGTACTAGTACTATTTTAAAGAGAATGTTAAAGGATAATCACAAGGCTAAGCTGGTTTAAGGTGTTTTATTTAGCAAGGGGAGCACCATTACTCATGCCTGAATCGTATTTGTACAGTTTCTGTAACCTGACACGCCTGTACAGTAACGCTAGCTCACATTTATCGACAGGCCCATTGATCTTCAGGGTTGACATTTTACGTTTTGATGACAAATTTGCCTTGCGGTGGTTGACTGAATATGTAATTTGTGGTGAGTGCTGCCCACACACACTCTTTCGGACGTCCACCCACTCTCGCTTGCTCATTCTCGTATGTCTCACATCTACTAAGAGACCACAGTCCTGTCTGGGGACCTACACACGAGGTAAACATTAAAGGGAATGGAGGAACTCTTAGCTACAGGCTAACATTGACGCTAACTCCTACATCTTAACATTTAGCATAAAACAGTGGATGCTGAGGTGACACTAGCAGATGAGCATCAGAAGGTCAAGGGCAACATGCATTTCTCTTCCCACACACATACACTCTGACTATAAAAGACAGCGAGAGACGGATCTGGGAGCTGGGCACGTGTTTTGGTATGAGCTCTTTTACTGATTGTAATGGGAGGGTGTTTTATTAAGGAGACATGCAAAACGTGCAGTGTTGGGGTGCCTCCAATAATAATAATAATAATAATAATAATAATAATAATAATAATAATAATAATAATAATAATAATAATAATAATAATAATAATAATAATAATAATAATAATAATAATAATAATAATAATAATAATAATAATAATAATAAGTCATATCATATATAAAATATGTATGTCATAGTACTGTCAGATCAAATATTTATTTAAATATTGACAAATTTAGCATTTAACTTTGATTAAAAATATAAATGTCCTTGAATTAACCTAATGTTGCAACTCCTGTTAAGACAATTTCTTAATGAATACCTATGATTTTATATACAGTATACATCTTTGTTAACACAGAAACATAAGAAAACAGGGTAACACTTCGAATAGGGAACACTTATTCACTATTAACTACGACTTTTCCCTCAATAAATTCCTAATTTGCTGCTTATTAATAGTTAGTAAGGTAATTGTTAAGTTTAGGTATTGGGTAGAATAAGGCATTAATATGTGCTTAATTAGTACTAATAAATGGCTAATATTCTAGTAATATGCATGCTAATAAGCAACTAGTTAAGAGACCCTAAAATAAAGTGTTACCGAAAACCTATATTAAAATGTCTACATTTTAGGCCTAAATTTAGGATTTATATATTTGAATTGCAAATAAAATTTTCATCCATTTGGATTACACAGTTTTATCATAAAATAATTTAAACTTAATCCAATGCATATCTGTCAGTCATGCATAAATGGAAAAAAAAAAAGTTTATATTATAGAAATAATCAATCTTCTATCTCTAAATCTAACCCATAACAAACAGACAAGTGTAACCACAGTCATATATTCTAAACTATGGTGAAGGTAAAAGCAGAAAAAGTAGAAAAAAAAACATAGAACAGGACAAATCATTTTTTAATTAATTTGTGAGACTCCTGGGGTCCTTCAAATGAAGAAATGTGAAAAATGACTCTCTATGGATACATAATATACAGTCATCAAACAAGTTAGGAGCAATATGCTTGTGAAAATGTAATATCCCTCATCATGTTGCCAGCAATTAAGATAATAATTTTTGGGATTTATGAGAAATGTTTTTTTATTCCATAGCCCATGGCAGTCATCATGTGCTGGGAGCCATCTAGAGACCATCTAGTCAATTGTAACCATATTGTCTTGGGTTATTGTAATCATTTATGTTTATTGAGGTAGTTGAGCATAATTGAATTGCATTTTGGTGTTATTTTATGGCAAAAATGGTATTAAAAACACTTTCCAAGTTGGGATTACATTTTCAAGTAAACAAATTTCACCTTACTACAGCGAAGTTACAGCAGAAATAAATGTTTGCACATGAAATGACACACTAAAACATTTATATAAAAAAAAAAAAAAAAAAAAAAAAAAAACAGCAATACAAACTACTAGTTTTAAGCCCACCTAATGTCTAGCATCTACTGACTAACTTTTCTTTTTTTAAGAGTTTTGCACCCTCTTTGTGGAAATAGTTGAATTAGGCTAGTTGTTGGATACAGCAATATAATGCATCAATTGATGCGTTTACCTGTACTGTATGTCACTTTAAAACCATTGGAAGACCAGATTGTGCTTCTTTGGATGATAAATAATGCTTAGTGTTTTTATGGAGCTTTTAGTTCTTATGTGAATGACCTTTTTTTAATCTACCCACGCCTAATCACAGAGAACAGTATGACTGACTGTCCATTCACCTGGAAACCTCACAGAGATCTGCAAATGTGGCTGGAAAAGTAGACAACATAATAGCAGGCATCTCAACCAGCGCACCCACTGTAAAACATTAGCTCAACATTTCACCGTTTCCAGTGCTGGTGGTGGTGTTGCAAGAATATTCTGGCTTTTAAAAGCAAGAGCCGGGTGGTTAGGGAGCTGAGAAGCCTCTTCACTTCTTATTACTGTTGCCATGGAAACCAGGCATGGAATGGGGGCTGATAAGCACAGGGTTGCTGTGCCATGGAAGTGTGGAAGACAGGTGTGACAGTTTGTCTGGATTCAGCTTAGCATGGAACATTCCAATGATGTAGCATTCAAAAGCTCATCATTGTTTAATGCTATGTTTAATGTTCATTTGAATTAGTTTCTGTGTATACAATATATTTAAATAACAACAAACAACACCAACAATAATCACGACATTAGAGTTGGGGAGGATACTTCAACTAGCTACTCAACAGTACAACTGGCTACAAACTACTCATTTTACAGTAGTTTACTGTACATCTAAGGTACTGTAGTCTTTTTAAAAAGGTACAATATGAGAAACTAACAAAAAGTAGCTAACTGCAAATACAGTATATGCACAGTTTAGAAGTGCACATAATTATAATGAAGGTACACTTTTAGTGTGCTTCAAATTTTAAAAGCATATTTTTTAAAACATATACTTGCAGATAATATAATATTAATTAAGTAAATGTCCACTTAAGTGTGCTTAGCGACAGTTTACTTTCTTTGGCAATGTTTCTTAACACACTTAGGTACACTTTGGGAAAAAAGTTTGCTTTAAATTAGTGTCAAATTTAAAGTTTTGGATTAAAGTACGTTTTAAGGTTAATATAATTTAAACATATTACATTGTAACTTCATCATTACAAATGTGTAATTGCAAAAATTTAAATACATGACATAGAAGTTTCAACAGAAATGACAACATATGCTTTAGTTTACCATAAATGCTTGTCAGTACATTCAGCAGTACATTTTAACCATATTTCAAAGTGAAATTATGAAATGACATTTAAGATGTACTTAAGTCCTATTTAAGTGAGTCAAAAACACTCTGATGTTCTGCTAAATAGGATTTAATATAAATTTAAACAGTAATACATTTTCATTTAATTGCAGCTACCAGTCATGTATGAACATATTGCATTTAGTTTGCACTTCAGTGTAGTATACTACTTGCATAATACGCAGTTTTGGTAACACTTTATTGTAAGGACCAGTTCTCACTATTATCTACACTGTTACAATCACAGTGTATTCCAGGTTAATAATTGCATTACTTTCACAGTAATTTCACAGTAGGACTTCTCTTGTATCGAACTGCCCTCTCAGAAATTTCTTGTAAACAAACAGCATCATACTGTGTTTCTACAGTGCATATGTATATGAAGGCACCCATGCAATGCAGCATGAATAGATCATGCTGTGGCATTAAAATAAAATATGTATGTTCATGCAAAAAATACTTTGACTAACTTAAAGTCAGGCAATTAACTTATTTCATATTCTAGCTTATCATTTTGACAAATGTTTTCATTTGTCAGACTTCTGACATGACTAGATCAGAAATTTGAATATGAATATGCAAGGTCAAAGAGCCCAAACAAACAGGATCACTAATCACCATTATGGTGACTTCAAAACAATTACAGTAGTAAACAACTACATTTCTCAGAGTGGCACAGATAAAAGCAGATTGTGTAAAACGAGTGTGATGTTAGCATGATTCTGCTGTTCATTCACAGTCATTTGTAAGAAAATTATCCAGCATGCATTGATTTCACAGTACATTTCTGACTACAGTAGTTTATTGTAAAAAAAAAAAAAAACTCTTTAATCCTGTAAATTCCTGGCAAATTTTAACAGTGCAGTTGCTTATTAGCATGCATATTACTAGAATATTGGCTGTTTATTAGTACTTATAAAGCACATATTAATGTTTTATTCTGCATCACAGTATTCTAGACTCTTTAATCCTACCCAATACCTAAACTTAACAACTACCTTTCTAACTATTAATAAGCAGCACATTAGTAGTTAATAGTTAATAGTGAGAATTGGTGCCCAAACTAAAGTGTGACCGTATACTTTTTAAAACTATGCTAAAGTGTAGTTCATTTTCACAAGGGTTCAGAAGTGATTTTGGACACTGCTAGCATTTGAAAGCTGATGTGTTTCATGACGTAAGTCCTCGTGACTGTGATCAAATTCAACTCTGTCATGAAAACACACGACTCTAATTGCCCTCACTCTGGTGTTATCACCTTGTGTCGTTCTCTCTCTCTCTCTCTGTGTATGACCCACACTCCCTCTGGGTGACAGTGTCTCATTAGGGAACTGGAGTTTGACAGGAGGAGCAAACTTTGTGGGTGTGTGGAACATCTGTAGCACCACCTGTGATGTGTCAAGTTTGGTGGCAGACAACAAATACAATATTCTCTCAGCGCAAAAGACATGATGCT